TCTGAGCAAAACAAATAAAGACAGAGGGATTATGAAAAACAGTATGGAGGTTTCTCAAACAACTAAAAATTGAACTGCTATACAACAGAGTAATCCCACTATTGGGTATGCACTCAAAGGAATGAAAATCATCACATCAAAGGGATACCTGCCCTCCTATGCTTGTAACAGATCTATTAACAATAGCCAAGACTTGGAACCAACCTAAATGTCTGTCAACAGAGGACCAGATAAAGAAAATGTAGATATACACACAATGTAATATTCCTCTGCCATAAAAAAAGAATGAAATTCTGCCATTTTCAACATGATTAGCTTGGAGAAAATTATGTAACATAAAATAAGCCAGGGACAGAAAGAGAAATGCCATATGTCCTCACTCATAAGAGGGAGCTTAAAAATAAATACATAAATGAAAAAGAAGGAAAAGAGGGAAACAATCACAATAATACATTGAACTTTCAAAAGGATTGAATAGGACTGTGGTTACTAAAGGTGGGAAAGGGGAATAGGAGGAAGGTTAGCAAGAAATTGGTTAAGGGTCAGAATGGATGATCATGTTTTCTGATGATGAATATACTAATTACCCTGATTTGTTGAATACATAGTGTACACAGGTATTGATATTCAACTCTGTACCCCACAAATATATATAACCATTTATGTTTCAGTTTTTTTAAAAGTCATCCTGGACTTCTTTACTCCTTAGGGATCTCAGCAGTCTCCTGCTGTACTCCTATACTGTCCCACAGAAGCTCCCATCAATATTTAGTTGTTAGATGTGCTCATTTTCTGTAGGAGGAATGTGCCCTGGATGCCTCTATTTGCCATCTTGTCCTGCCTTTTCCATTTGTTCTTCAAATAATATTTGTGCCCCTACTCCCTTTTTCTGGGACTTTCACAATGTATATGTTAGTGTTCTTAATGGTGTCCCACAGGTCCCATAGGCACTTTTTATTTTTCTTCAGTCTTTTCTCTTTCTGTTCTTCAAACACAATTTTCAATTGCCCTTTGTTCAGGTTTACTGATTTTTTCTTCTGTCTGCTCAAATATGCCTTTGTATCCCTCCTGTGAATATTATACTTGAGTAAATGTACTTTTGCCTTTAGATTTTGTTTTAGGTTTTATTCTCTTTATTAATATTTCAATTTTATTCATACATTATTTTATTTACTTTCTGCATGTCTTCAATTAGTTCTTTGAACATCTTTAAATGGTTTTTTTAAAAAATATTTTTCTACTGGGTTCACCATCTGGTATTTCTCAGAGATGGTTTCTGTTGGTTCTTTTTTCTTTTTCTTTCTTTTTTTTTTTTTTGTCTTTCAATGTGTCATACTTTCCTATTTTGTTGTATGCCTTAGAATACTTTTGTTAAAAACTTGATATATAGGGCCGGCCCGGTGGCGCACTGGATAGTGCGCCGCTTGGGAAGCGCGGCGGTGCTCCCGCCCGAGGGTTCGGATCCCACATACAGACCGGTTCCCGCTCACTGGCTGAGTGAGGTGCGGGGGCAACACCGAGGGTTGCAATCCCATTGCCAGTCCCCGGTCCGGTACGGGGGCAACACTGAGGGTTGCGATCCGTTGCCGGACACGGAAAAAAACAAAAGACAAAAAAAAAAAACAAAAAAAAAACTTGATATATAAGTGCTGGCTGGTTAGCTCAGTTGGTTAGAGTGCAGCCTTATAACACCAATGTGAGGGTTCAGATCCCTATACTGGCCAGTAAACAACAACAAAAACTAAAAGCAAAACAAACCCCCCCAAAAAAGACAGCAACCTTGTCATATGAATCTAATAATATAACCCTGAAAATCAGATCCTTCCTCTTTCCCAGAGTGTGCTGATTTTTGTTTTTTGTTTTGTGTGCTGTGATTTTACTGGGGATTAGCCTGGTGAGTAAACTTAAGGTCCCCTCAGGTCTTTTCAGAGCTTTGCTTTCCCTGTGCATGCACAATGAGGTTTCAAATTTTACCCTATATGTAATTGCTTTTGAATGTCTGAGCTCTTTCATGGCTAGCTGCCAAAGGCTGAAAAGGGGAATAAATGGAAGGATGACAGGAAGAAAAAGAGAAAAAGACACTGGCCAAATAAATTCCAGAGGAATTGAAGAAGGCACTTGTAATGGTGTGAGGAGGGGTGTAACTATGGCTTTCTGCCTCTGTTGGCACCTCCAAGACCACAAAGAGCAATTAGCAATCAGAACACAGGTCTCCAGTATTTGGAACAAAGAGGTTTTTTTTTTTTTTTTCCTTTTTGTCTTTTTTACTGATCGGTAACGGGATCACAACCCTCGGTGTCATGCCCGCACTGGGGACCAGCAACGGGATCTCAACTCTCGGTGTTGCGCTCACACCGCGCTCAGCCAGTGAGCGGGAACCGGTCTCCACATGGGATCCGAACCCTCGGTGGGAGTGCCACCATGCTCCCAAGCAGCGCACTCTCCAGTGCGCCACTGGGCCGGCCCGGAACAAAGAGTTTTTATTGCCCATCACGACTCCTACGAGATGTGTGCAAGCTGCTCCAGAAAAACACACATGGCTGACTGTCATGGGATAGAGGGGTGGGTAATGGATAGATTCTACTGTGCTAAGAGCTTAAATTGTGTTTAGCATCCAAAATTTCTCCTGAAAGTTGCATGCTTTCAAGAACCTCCAGAGTTATGAAACTGTTGCATCAGACAGATTCTGCCCATACAATTACTGTTTCAGGAGAGAGAGAAAAATCCGTGGTGCTTCCTGCTCTACAATGTTCTTAAAATCCCCAACCACTGAAGATTTTTGACACTATGACTACCTTTAATTGTGAAGTTCAATGACATTGTAAAGACAAAAGGCAAGAAGAGATAAAATAAGCAGGAGACTTGACAGGAAGTCTCCAGAGGGTCAGGTGGTGGTGTCCTCAGTGAGGCAATGACAAGTGACAGCAAATAAGAGGAAAGCCAAATACAACAATTTCAGAATATATTGAACTTTATTGCTTGATTTTTTTTTTTTTAAAAGATGACCAGTAAGGGGATCTCAACCCTTGGCTTGGTGTTGTCAGCACCACACTCAGCCAGTGAGCAAACCGGCCATCCCTATATAGGATCTGAACCCGTGGCCTTGGTGTTATCAGCACCGCACTCTACCAAGTGAGCCACAGGCCGGCCTTATTGCTTGATTTTTTAAGAGAGATAAATCACTATCAACACATACAACAAGTTGAATCTGGATAAATTGTTCATGTAAATTTGAAAGGTATAATTGATATTTCAGAGAAAAACAAAGAACGTCTCTGAGATTTAACCATAGGAAAGTCTTTTTTTTTTTTTTTTTTTTTTTTTTTTTTTTTTCCCGGC